GAACTCAGGGTTGTGAGTTCACGCCCCACATTGGGCTCCACCCTGGGTGTGGAGCCTACTTAAAAAAATGTTTCTTTCTTTTCTTTTTTTTTTTTAAAGATTTTATTTATTTATTTGAGAGAGAGAGAATGAGAGAGAGAACACATGAGAGGGGGGAGGGTCAGAGGGAGAAGCAGACTCCCTGCCGAGCAGGGAGCCCAATGTGGGACTCGATCCAGGGACTCCAGGATCATGACCTGAGCTGAAGGCAGTCGCTTAACCAACTGAGCCACCCAGGCGCCCTAAAAAAATGTTTCTTAAATAATAATAAGATGAACTTACAAGGCAAGTATTAAATGTGTTCCCAGAGTATAATGGCCAAAAGTATTGCCAATAGAATTAACTGAAAAGATTCTTGTTTCTGAGAATCAAACCATTTATTTCACAAATACAGAGGCTCATTTTCTCATTCTTCCTTTTGCGTCAATCATCATTTAACCCAAATTAATCTTCCCAAAAAAAGCACATAGATCTGCCAATACGTTGGTGTTTTCTTCTTACAAGGAAACAACAGAGCAGATAAAAATCTGCTTTCTCTGATTCTGGAGAGCCACTATTATTGGTATACTACTGCAACTCTCTGAGGTTCTCTTTCAGGGGTCAGCAAACTACTACCCATGGAGTAAATCTGGCCCATCACCTGGTTTTGTAAATAAAGTTTTATTGGAATGCTCCAATAAATGCTCCACGCTCCTTCATTTATGTATTATCTATCAGTGGTTGCTTTCCTACTACAATGGCAGAGTTGAATCACAGCGTCAGAGACCATCTGACCTACAAAGCCTAAAATATTTACTCTCTGGCCCTTAACAGAAAAACTGTCCTAGTTTTTCTTAGTATCTAGTATCTTACTATCTTTTTGCCGCATTGCTTCCAAGAAAGCAAGATGGGTCACCAGCAGCCCTACTGGAGTGGAGAAAATTCAGCCAGCGTTCTCGTTCTTGTTGCACATGCTTAAACCAGCACAGTCTGATCCGGAAATACGGTCTCGATATGAACCACCAGTGTTTGCACAGGTAAGCAAAGGATACAGGTTCATTAAGTTGGATTAAGTGAACTTCCTTCAATGGGTCATCCAAGATATACACCTTACTGCAGATATCCAAAATACCTACCTTCATGCTAACTCTTGGTACATAAAATAAAAATATTTCAATTATGAAAAAAAAAAACATGATCCGTTCTTACATTTCGGCTAGTCACTCATTCATTATTATTCATTCATAATATGTTAACTGACATCTCAACGTGTTAATGTCACTACTAAGTGTTAATCTGACCTCAGACAATGACTTTGAGGATCATAATAAATGCTCTCTTTTTCTTTACATTAATAGGTGATTATTTTTAATTAACCTGAATTTTATTTTTTATTTTTTTTTTAAAGATTTTATTTATTTGACAGAGAGAGACACTCTGAGAGAGGGAACACAGCAGGGGGAGTGGGAGAGGGCGAAGCAGGCTTCCCACTGAGCAGGGAGCCCAATGCGGGGCTCGATCCCAGGACCCTGGGATCATGACCTGAGCCGAAGGCAGACGCTTAACGACTGAGCCACCTAGGTGCCCCTAACCTGAATTTTAAAAAGTAATCTCATACCCAGGAGACACTTCAAATCTTGAGTTAAGCATTTGATATTCATCCATGTTTTAGGCTAGCTTTAAACTTTAAGCTTAAGAACAAAAACAAAAATAGATTAATTTTCAAAAGAGGCTGGAAATAAAACATCTACAGCCTTAAGAGAAATAAAAAGATAATTACGCCCAAATTTGCTTGTTTTCCTTTCTTTCCGGAAAGATTGCCTCAGTAAAAGAAGTTAAGAGTTTTTTAAAATGCCTTTTGACATCACAGACCTTCTTATTTTAATGGAGCAACATCTTCCTAGGAATTCTCAGAGCAAGAGAATAAGGAGAAAAAGGAGGAGGGGGACGTCTGCACTGAAATAGAACAATGCAGGGAGACTCCAAACTTGGTTTGTGGCTATAGATGGTGAGTGTTGCACAGACCACAGGTTTGCTTAACTCAGATGCCCAGAAGGCTAGGCGAGGATTTCAGCTGGGAACTCTTTAGGTTTGCCCTGGAGCATAAATGAACAGAGGTCTCCTGTGATGAATTTTCCCCTCCTCCTGAGTTTCTTTATTTTCTCCTACTGTTTCCTTCTCTAAGTGGGTACAGCTGTTTGGGATTTTGTGAACTATGGGTTCAATCATATATTCAAGATGATGAAATCAGGACTTCTCAGTGTAGTTCCTCATTTTTCATATGCCAAGTACTTTTTCACTTTCTTTTTATTTCAAAAGTAATATAAAGATCTTTGCATGAAAGTCATAAAAATACTGGTAAGCAAAAAGGAGGAGGAGGGGGAGGAGAAGAAGAAGAAAAGGAAAAAGAGGAAGAAGAAGAAAAGAAGAAGGAGGAGGAGGAGGAGAAAAGAAAATTCAGATTATTCATAAACGCTACCACCCAAGGAAACCACTATAAAATGTTATTATATATTCATTCATCCATGTAATGGGTTGAATGGTGCTGGTTCACCACCCCTCCAAAGGATAAATCTGCCCAGAGCCTGTGAATGTGACCTTCTGTGGAAGGGGGTTCTTTGCCAATGTAATTACATTAAGGATCTGAAAAATGAAATCATCCTGGATTATCTGGTAGGCTCTAACTCCAAAGACGATTGTTCCTATAAGAGAGGAAAACTGTATTCAAAGGAGAAGGCCATGTGAAGGCAGAGGCAGAGAGCAGAGAGATACCACCACAGGCCAAGGAATACTGGAGCTTCCAGATGCTGGAAAAGGTAAGGAAGCCTTCTCTAGAGCCTTGGAGGGAGTATAGCCCTTTATTTCAGATATCTGGTATCCAGAATTGTAGGAATAAATTTCTGATATTTCAAGCTACCAAGCATGTGGCAATTTGTTACAGCAGTCCTAGGAAACTAAAACAATATATTTGTTCAGTAAATATTTACTAAACAACAACTATGAGCCACATATTGTACTGAAGAGTTGATGAATAAGATACCAAAACTTTCAAAGATTTTTTATGAACACATGGAAATATATGTATAAATATTTTAATGGGCCACAATATAAAAGTTGTTATTAACACACTTTTTAACCTAATAATACAGACATCTTTCATGATTATAAATGAATATGTCTTCATCTTATAGATGAACCACTATTTTGCTCAAGCCATTCTCAGTATTTGAACATTGAGCTTGTTTCCCTTTCTTTTTCTATACTGCAATAATCGTTCTTTAACTAAATACTTATGCACACTTTTAATTATCCCCTTAAATTAAAAAAAAGTGGAATTTGGAGGTCAAAGTCTGTGCCAGTTATCCATTTCTTGTCTCTCGGTTCCAAGCTAACCCCTCTTTCCCCTGTTTTGTGACACTGGAGCTGGAGCTTGCGAAACTTTCTCTACTACAGGTTGGCCCATGATAGGCTAGGCTTTGTCAGTGGAGGGCACTGGGCAAGGCAGCAGTGGCAGGAAGACACTCCTTTTTGGGGTGCCAGTCCTCCTCTTTCTAATGTAACATGGGAACCCCACAGCCCTCACAGACCAGCTCCAACCACACCCTCAAGACACATTCTCCCACCACCACCAGTAGTTGTTTCTAAGTAGATCTGGCCATGGCCTTAGGCACTTTCTCCCCATCCCATGGACATGTCTATACATCAATATGGCCTGCGTTTCTTCCAATATGAACGTTTCTTCACCACCCATGGCTAGGTTTTCCAGTGGTAGACACATGGTCCTCAAAGAGATTTTTTTTTTTTAAGATTTTATTTATTTATTTGAGAGAGAGAAAGAGAGCACAAGCAGAAGGGAGGGGGAGAGGCAGAGGGAGAAGCAGACTCCCCACTGAGCAGGAAGCCCGATGTGGGACTTGATCCCAGGACCCTGGGATCATGACCTGAGCTGAAGGCAGACGCTTGACCAACTGAGCCACCCAGGCGCCCCTTCAAAGAGATTTAAATCTCAGCCTTGAGTTGTGGATGGGAGCACCCTCCTAGTCCTTCCTTAGCCTAGATGTAATGGCTTCTGCACATGCTACTTCTGGATCCCTTAGAGGCAGCTCGCCACTTTTGCTAGTTAACACTTCTTTTGATTAAATCTCTCTGTTTAAATAACTTGTGCACTTTCAATCTCCTAACTGACTCTGACCCTAACTGATATAAAGTCTAAATGCATTTACATGACCAAAATAATTTCCAGAACAATTGCTCCAATTTACAATCCCTTCCCCAAGCCCTAACCAACTCTAGATATTTCCTTTCATTTTCAGCAAAGAAAATACAATAAGAAAGAAGGTATCCCTTGTCAATTGTTTTCATTTGCATTTCTTTGATTACTAATAAGGTAGAGGAAAAACTATTTGAGTACATGTTGTGTTGGAAGGAGTCATATCAGAGTAACAATGGTTACCTCCAGGGAAGGGAATAAGACGAGAAGAGGGAGAAAGAAGGGCGACTTTCCCTTATTGCTCTAAAATCTTGCACATTGTCCACATATTTTACAAAGGGAAAGCATTCATGTATTATTTATGTAATTAAATATATATACAGCATGAAAGTAAGGTGCTGTTGGGCCCTCTCTCTGACTACACATGACTGCTCCTAGTCAGAGTTGTTGCCTTTTTTAGCAGAGCTGAGCCATCAACTTTGGAGAGGGCTTACCTATCTGTAACCACAGGCCCCAGTCCTGACCACAGACTCATCTCACTAAGGCTGCACCTAGAACACCAAAAAGAAATGAGTGCTCAGCACATGTGCCTGGTCATGGCCACTATAGTTCCTGTATCTTCAAGGATAGGAGAACCATGACTTTCTATACCCTGTCTCATTGTGACAGTAAAACCATGAGCTGCACCCTCAGTTGCAATTTTTAGTTCATAAAAGTTGGGAAGAAGAGAGGGAGAGTGTAGAGACCATAGGGTTCATGTGCTTTTCCTTACCATCAGGAGAACACAGTAGAAGCTTGTGATGTGTGGGACTTTGACCCAGAGAGAAGACTGCATGACCAGGTCAGCACAGAGATGGGCTATAGTCATCTACCTCCTTCCAAAATGATTAATCATCTTTTCCACTTTCCATCTTTGCTTCTATTAAAAAAAAAAAAAAGGCATGAAGAGAGTTGAGATAATGTAATTGTACTTATCACGATTGACAATTTTATCATTTTTGTCTGACAGGACTACAATATTGTAATATTGTACTACAAATATTTGAAATCCTCCTTTGAGGAAGGGAGGATTCTTTAATAACCCAGTCAGCCAACAGACCTCTGTTGGGCTGAACAGTGTAGGAAGTGGCTAGGAAAATGGCAACCAGCAGGAGCAGAGCACATTTGCCCTACCAATGAAAAGACTAGGGTGGATGGAATAAAGAGTAGAGAATGGGCATGGTGGGTTTGGGTTTGTGGGATGTGAGATGGAGGGGAAGAAAGGAAGAAGGTGAGACCATAAAGCATGGACTTTGTGAAGAGAGATATGTGCATTCGGGTTGTTTAGAAAGATACTCTAATCATCCTAGACCTCAGTAACCAGATTCTCACTACTCCACTCCCTCGAAAGTTATTGAGTTAAGACCAGTGTTACTTTTCAAAGCCTTTTGGAGTAATTTCAATTTATTTTAGCTGTATTGATGGTCTAAGACTGAACTTTGAGCCAGAACAAGATATTTATTATTTGGGTTTCGTTTGTTTAATGTTTGTCTCACCCACTGGATGTGAATTCATGCGGTGGATTAGGAGTGGTCAGACAAAATTAAAATACTTTAAGACATGACTGTCCAAAGACCACCCCCTCCAAATCCCAACCTCTCGTCTTCTGAAAATAGTTGTGCTGTAAAAACTGACACACAGAATACACATCTGTTGTTATTCAGTCTGGTGTATGAAGCTCACATAACAGGCACAAGGGTGCTACCTAGAAAAATGACATCATCTCAAGGCAGCTACGCACGAGGGTATAGATTTCTTCCAATTCAAAATACACAGACAGCTCATTTAAGTCAAGATTGTTCTTCCACATATTCTTTGCCCTCTATCATGTATCTCCTTTAAAAAGAAAATAGTGCAAATTTCTTGGCTGCCGACGTCTATTAACCCGCTTAACCTCAATATCAAAGCTCAACACCTTAGCTCAACTGTCTCTTTAAGAAGATATAGTATCTAAGAGCTCTGTAAAATGTCATTTTTGTTAGGTATGGAGTACTGGCATCTAGAGACTAAGCTTTATTTAGCAGTTAGAATTTTGTGGAGATTATGATCAGAGTAAAACAATGTTTGGATGCAATACAGAATAAAAGAATATGAGAAATAAAAAAAAAAGAAGAAGATAGACTAATCCAGGACAGGAGGCCACAAGGCACATCATGTTTTTAATGAAATATTCTAAGTGTATAGAAAAGTAGAAAGAACAGTATGACTAGCATCCATGTACTCACTACCCAAATTTGTCAAATTTTAACATTTTGTAATATATCCTTCAGCTCTTTGTTCTGAGAAATAAATCATTATGGATACTATCGAAGCCCCATGTATAATCTACAACAACCTCCCCTCCGTTTTGATCCCATATATAACCAGTAACCACTATCCTGAATTTTGTGTTCATCACTCTCATGCATGTTTTTATCATTTTACGTATATATTTATCCATAAAGAATATCAAGAATGACTCGACCAGTTTCGAAGCTTATCTAAATAGTATCATACTGCTACAGGCCCACATGAGCACACACAGAGATACATATACAAACACACATATGTATATCATATAGAAGTATTCATATCCTTTTACAACTTTAAGGTATATCCATGTAGAGAAAATATAGTTGTAGTTGCTTCATATTAACTGCTGTTTCCCATTGTATAATCATACCACAACTTCCTTACGTATTCCTATGGATACACCGTTAGATATTTTGCCATTCTTTGTTATCGTAAGTCAGACTGCAGGGAAAATTCTTTTGGATAAATGCATACAACTTTTTAAAAATTTTATTTTGTTTTTAATATAGAGTTAGAAGAATAACATGACCAATAAAGTTGACCTTTTTCAAATGTGTAGCTCTGTGAATTTTAACACATGTATAGACTGATGCGACCACCATCACAATAAGGACACAGAACTGTTCCATCACTGAAAGCGACTCCCTCAGGCTGCTTCTTTGTAGTTGCAACTTTGTCACTGCCCCTAACACCTGCCAACCAATAGCCTATTCTCTGTTGCCATAATTTTCCTATTTCCATGATATCATATACATAATCATACAACGTGTTACCTTTGAGACTGGTTTCTTTCACTCAGCATAATACCTTGAGATGCATCCATGTTGTCGTATCTATCAATACTTTGATTGCTAAGTAACATTCCATCGCATGGGTGTACAACACTTTGTTTACTATTTTGCCCATGGAAAGACATTTGTGTTACTATTGATTTTTGGCAATTATTAATAAAGATGTTATAAACCTTCATAAACAGGTCCTTATGCACATATAAGTTTTCAGTTAACTTGGGTAAATACCTAGTCATGGAATTACTGAGTCAGATGGTAAGTATATGTTTATCTTTCCAAATTCTTGGGGACTTACCAGTTATCTTTCTGTAATTGGCTTCTAATCTAATTCTATTATGATCAGAGAACATAATTTGTATGATTTTTATTCTTTTAAATTTGTGAGTGTTTTATAACTCAGGATATAGTCAACCTTGATAAGTGTCATCTACACTTAAAAAGAATATGCACTGTGTTCGAGTTGAGTGTGCTACAGATGTTGGTTAGATCCAGTTGGCTGATAGTGTTGTTCAGTTCCTCTATATCCTTGCCTATTTTCTATCTACCTGCTCTATTAATTGCAGAGAAAAAAAGGTTTAAGTCTCCAGCTGTAATTGTTGGATTTGTCCATTTCTTCTTTCAGGCTTATCAGTTTTACTTCATGTATTTTGAAGCTCCGTTGTTAGAAATGTACACACTTAGGATTATAGTTGCTGGTGGACTGACCCTTTTATCAGTATGTAATGTTTCTTTCTATCCCTGGTATCCTTCTTGCTCTACAGTCTACTCTGTCTGATATTAATATAGTCATTCCAGATTTCATTTGATGAGTGTCTGCCTGGTGTATCATTTTATATCCTTTCCTTTTTAACTTTCCTGTGTCATTATATGTACATCAGGTTTCTTGTAGTCAGCTTAGCATTGGTCTGGGTTTTCTTTAATATTTTTTGGTCTTGGGTTTTATTTGTTTGTTTTTGTTTTATTTAACCCATTCTGATGATCTCAGTCTTTTACTTTGTGTATTTAGACCACTTACATTTAGCATTATTATTGTTCTGTTTGCATTTGAGTCTACCCTTTTATAATTTGTTTTCTATTTGTTCCTTCTGGTTTTTGTCCCACTCTTTCCCCTTTCCTGCTTTCTTGTATAATATTTGAATATTTTTAGTGTTCCATTTTAATCTATTGAGTTTGATTACATCTTAGTGTTCCCCCCCCCCCCCAGTGGTCATGTTAGGGATTAAATATACAAACTTGACCTTTCTCAATCTACCTAGACCTAATATTTCACCACTTCAGGTGGAATATAGAACTCTTACCAGCATATATGTCCCTTTACCCTCCTCTCCTTATGTTGTTGTGATTATTATGTCTATATGTATTAAAACTCCATAATTATAGTTTTTGCTTTCGACCATCATACATATTTTAAAGAACTTAAGAGGAGAAAAATAATCTCTTCTATTTACTCAGATTTTTACCATTTCTGTTACTCTTCCTTCACTCTTGATGTTCTAAGTTTCCCTCTGGTAGTATTTGCCATTCATCTGAAAAAACTTGCTTTTCATGTTTCTGTTGGAACAGGTCTGCTGGCAACGGATTCTCTCAGTTTTCATCGACATTTCATCATCGTTCCTGGAGGAAATTAATTCTGCAAGGGAATTTTGAAATTATCTAACTTAAAATATTCATTGCACATGTGAAGAAAATGAAGCCCAAAGACAGTAAATACTTTGCCCCTATGGCACTGAGCCAGGACCAAAATCTAAGCTTGATTCTCAGTTCAGTGCTCTTACTCTTCTTAGACAATGTGCTGCTGGCTTGCTATCTCAATTATTTGGTATATAGTGAGAATAGGCTGTGCAAAAAAAAGCTTGATTATTATATGCTTAATATAAGAAAAAGTGGTAAAGAGGGGGGGCAGAGCAAGATGGCGGAGGAGTAGGAGACCTGGATTTCGTCTGGTCTCAGGAATTCAGCTGGATAGGGATCAAACCATTCTGAACACCTACAAACTCAACAGAAGATCGAAGAAAAGAAGAGCAACAACTCTCTGAACAGAAAAGCGACCACTTTCTGGAAGGTAGGACGTGCGGAGAAGTGAATCCGAGGCGATATTCGGGAGGATAGACGGCAGGGGAGGGGCCTCCATTGGCCACTTCTGGCAAGTGATAGAGCCGCGGAGCACAAAATCGGAACTTTTAAAAGTCTGCTCCGCCGAGGGACGTCACTCTGGTGGCTAAGCGGGGGTGGAACCCTCTGGGACAGTGTGGTCTCAGGACCCTCAGGGTCACAGAAAGACCGGGGGTGCCTGAGGGCGGCAGAGCTCCCAGGTAACGGAGCAGGGAAGCCGGCTGCAGAGACGGAGCCCAGGCGCGGGCTCTCAGCTCGGGGTGGCCATGAACCGTGATCCGCGGCACGGTCGGGCCCCTGCTCCTCCAGCAGGGACCCCACAAGCGGCAGATCCGGGGAGACTCACCTTCCTGCCCCGAGAGGAGCCGCGCGGGAGGGCACCGCAGGGATCGGCTGGGTTTGGAGACTCCACCCGGGGTCGGGTGCCAGAGATAGAAACGCACGGTCGCAGGCCGGGTGAGCACAGAGTGTGGCCAGACACCGGGGAGATGGGAGTGACTGACGGCTTTTCTCTGGGGGCGCACTGAGGAGCGGGGCCCCGAGTTCTCGGCTCCTCCGGAGCGGAGATTGGGAGGCCGCCATTCTCACTCTCCGCCTCCAAAGCTGTACGGAAAGCTCGCAGGGAACAAAAGCCCCGGAGAGCAAACCCGAGCAGATTACTTAGCCGGGAGGGGGCAAGGGCGGGGCACTTCCGCCTCCGGCAGAGACATTTGGAAACCACGGCAACAGGCCCCTCCCCAGAAGATCAGCGAGAACAGCCGGCCAAGACCAAGTCTACCGATCAATGAGAACGGCAGAACTCCAGCGCTAGGGGACTACTGCACATAGAATCCATGGCTTTTTTACCATGATTCTGTAGTCTTTCAAAGTTAATTTTTTTAATTTTCTTTTTCTTTTTTTCTTTTTTTGAATTTTTCTTTTTCCCTTTTTCAACCAACATCTTATCAATCCCTTTTTTAAAAAACATTTTTATTTTTCATTTTTAGAGTCATATTCTATCCCTTCATAGTAGTTACCTGTATTTTTGGCATATATATATATATAAGTTGTTCTCTCTTTAAAATTTTGAGATAGTTTCTTCTAACAGATCAAAATATACCCTAAATCTCTAGTGTATGGTTTTTTTCTACTCCCCTTCCTGATCACATTCCCTCCTTTTTCTTTTTTTTTTTAAATCCTCTTCTTTCTTTATTCAAACAACTTCTTATCAATTCCTTTTATAAAATTTTTTATAATTTCCATCTTTACAGTCATATTCCATCCCTTCATCATATCAACCCTTATTTTTGTACATATATAAGTTTTTCTTTCTTTAAAATTTTGGGAGGCACTTTCTTCTAACAGACCAAAATACACCCAAAATCTAGTGTGTGGCACTGATCTATATACCAGCCTGATCATATTTGATCATATTCTGTTTTTTTCTTTTGTTCTGCTTTTGTTTGTTTTTATCTTTATTTTTTTCTTTCTTTCTTCTTCTTTTTTCTCTCTTTCCCTTTCTTTTCCCACTGCTTCAGGTCTTTTCTGATTTGTTTAGAGTATATTTTCTGAGGACCTTGCTACCCTGTTAGCATTTTGTTCTCTCATTAGTCTATTCTCCTCTGGGCAAAATGACAAGATGGAAGAAATCACCTCAACAGGGGCGCCTGGGTGGCTCAGTCGTTAAGCGTCTGCCTTCGGCTCAGGTCATGGTCCCAGGGTCCTGGGATCGAGCCCCACATCCGGCTCCCTGCTCCGCGGGAAGCCTGCTTCTCCCTCTGCCCCTCCCCCTGCTCATGCACTTGCTCTCTCTCTCTCAAATAAATAAAATCTTAAAAAAAAAAAAAAGAAATCACCTCAACAAAAAGAACAAGAGGTAGTACCGACTGCCAGGGACCTACTCAATACGGACATTAGTATGATGTCAGATCTAGAGTTCAGAATCATCACTTTAAAGATACTAGCTGGGCTTGAAAAAAGCATGGAAGTTATTAGAGAAACCCTTTCTGGAGAAGTAAAAGAACTAAAATCTAACCAAGTGGAAATCAAAAAGGCTATTAATGAGGTGCAATCAAATATGGGGGCGCTAACTGCTAGGATAAATGAGGCAGAAGAGAGAATCAGTGAGATAGAAGACCAAATGATGGAAAATAAAGAAGCTGAGAAAAAGAGAGATAAACAACTACTGGATCACAAGGGCAGAATTCGAGAGATAAGCGATACCATAAGACGAAACAACATTAGAATAATTGGGATCCCAGAAGAAGAAGAAAGAGAGAGAGGGCCAGAAGGTATAATGGAGCAAATTATGGCAGAGAACTTCCCTAATTTGGGGAAGGAAACAGGCATCAAAATCCAGGAAGCACAGAGAACCCCTCTCAAAATCAATAAAAATAGGTCAACACCCCGACATCTAATAGTAAAACTTACAAGTCTCAGAGATAAAGAGAAAATCCTGAAAGCAGCTCGGGAGAAGAGATATGTAACCTACAATGGTAGAAACATTAGATTGGCAACAGACCTATCCACAGAGACCTGGCAGGCCAGAAAGGACTGGCAGGATATATTCAGAACACTAAATGAGAAAAATATGCAGCCAAGAATACTATATCCAGGTAGGCTGTCATTGAAAATAGAAGGAGAGATAAAAAGCTTCCAGGACAAACAAAAACGAAAGGAATTTGCAAACACAAAACGAGCCCTACAAGAAATCTTGAAAGGGGTCCTCTAAGCAAAGAGAGAGCCTAAAAGCAACATAGACCAGAAAGGAACACAGACAATATACAGTAACAGTCACCTTACAGGCAATACAATGGCACTAAATTCATATCTTTCAATAGTTACCCTGAATGTAAATGGGCTAAATGCCCCAATCAAAGACACAGGCTATCAGATTGGATTAAAAAACAAGACCCATCGATATGCTGTCTGCAAGAGACTCATTTTAGACCCAAAGACACCTCAAGATTGCAAGTGAGGGGGTGGAAAACCATTTACCATGCTAATGGACACCAAAAGAAAGCTGGGGTGGCAATCCTTATATCAGACAAATTAGATTTTAAACCAAAGACTGTAATAAGAGATGAGGAAGGACACTGTATCCTACTTAAAGGGTCTATCCAACAAGAAGATCTAACAATTGTAAATATCTATGCCCCTAACATGGGAGCAGCCAATTATATAAGGCAATTAATAACAAAGGCAAAGAAACACATTGACAACAATACAATAATAGTGGGAGACTTTAACACCCCCTCAATGAAATGGACAGATCGTCTAAGCAAAAGATCAACAAGGAAATAAAGGCTTTAAATGACACACTGGACCAAATGGACTTCACAGACATATTTAGAACATTCCATCCCAAAGCAACGGAATACACATTCTTCTCTAGTGCCCATGGAACATTCTCCAGAATAGATCACATCCTAGGTCATAAATCAGGTCTCAACCGGTACCAAAAGATTGGGATCATTCCCTGCCTATTTTCAGACCACAATGCTTTGAAACTAGAACTCAATCACAAGAGGAAAGTCGGAAAGAACTCAAATACATGGAGGCTAAAGAGCATCCTACTAAAGAATGAATGGGTCAACCAGGAAATTAAAGAAGAATTTAAAAAATTCATGGAAACCAATGAAAATGAAAACACAACTGTTCAAAATCTTTGGGATGCAGCAAAGGCAGTCCTAAGAGGAAAGTATATAGCAATACAAGCCTTTCTCAAGAAACAAGAAAGGTCTCAAGTACACAACCTAACCCTACACCTAAAGGAGCTGGAGAAAAAACAGCAAATAAAACCTAAACCCAGCAGGAGAAGAGAAATAATAAAGATCAGAGCAGAAATCAATGAAATAGAAACCAAAAGAACAGTAGAACAGATCAACGAAACTAGGAGTTCGTTCTTTGAAAGAATTAACAAGATTGATAAACCCCTGGCCAGACTTATCAAAAAGAAAAGAGAAATGACCCAAATCAACAAAATCATGAATGAAAGAGGAGAGATCACAACCAACACCAAAGAAATACAAACAATTATAAGAACGTATTATGAGCAACTCTATGCCAGCAAATTCGATAACCTGGAAGAAATGGATGCATTCCTAGAGATGTATCAACTACCAAAACTGAAGCAGGAAGAAATAGAAAACCTGAACAGACCCAAAACCACTAAGGAAATTGAAGCAGTCATCAAAAATCTCCCAAAAAACAAAAGCCCAGGGCGAGATGGCTTCCCAGAGGAATTCTACCAAACATTTAAGGAAGAATTAATACCTATTCTTCTGAAACTGTTCCAAAAAATAGAAATGGAAGGAAAACTTCCAAACTCATTTTATGAGGCCAGCATTACCTTGATCCCAAAACCAGACAAAGACCCCATCCAAAAGGAGAATTACAGACCAATATCCCTGATGAACATGGATGCAAAAATTCTCACCAAAATACTAGCCAATAGGATCCAACAGTACATTAAAAGGATTATTCACTACGACCAAGTGGGATTTATCCCTGGGCTGCAAGGTTGGTTCAACATCCGCAAATCAATCAACGTGATACAATACATTAACAAAAGAAAGAACAAGAACCATATGATCCTCTCAATAGATGCAGAAAAAGCATTTGACAAAGTACAGCATCCTTTCTTGATCAAAACTCTTCAGAGTATAGGCATAGAGGGTACATACCTCAATATCATAAAAGCCATCTATGAAAAACCTACAGCGAATATCATTCTCAATGGGGAAAAACAGAGCTTTCCCCCTAAGGTCAGGAACGCAGCAGGGATGTCCTCTATTACCACTGCTATTCAACATAGTATTAGAAGTCCTAGCCACAGCAATCAGACAACAAAAAGAAATCAAAGGCATCCAAATCGGCAAAGAAGAAGTCAAACTCTCACTCTTTGCAGATGATATGATACTTGATGTGGAAAACCCAAAAGACTCCACCCCAAAACTGCTAGAACTCATACAGGAATTCAGTAAAGTGGCAGGATATAAAATCAATGCACAGAAGTCAGTGGCATTCCTATAAACCAACAACAAGACAGAAGAAAGAGAAATTAAGGAGTCGATCCCATTTACAATTGCACCCAAACCATAAGATACCTAGGAAGAAATCTAACCAAAGAGGCAAAGGATCTGTACTCAGAAAACTATAAAATACTCATGAAAGAAATTGAGGAAGACACAAAGAAATGGAAAAACATTCCATGCTCATGGATTGGAAGAACAAATATTGTGAAGATGTCAATGCTACCTAGAGCAATCTACACATTCAGTGCAATCCCCATCAAAATACCATCTACTTTTTTCAAAGAAATGGAACAAATAATCCTAAAATTTGTATGGAACCAGAAAAGACCCCGAATAGCCAGAGGAATCTTGAAAAAGAAAAGCAAAGCTGACGACATCACAATTCCGGACTTCCAGCTCTATTACAAAGCTGTCATCATCAAGACAGTATGGTACTGGCACAAAAACAGACACATAGATCAATGGAACAGAACAGAGAGCCCAGAAATGGACCCTCAACTCTATGGTCAACTCATCTTTGACAAAGCAGGAAAGAATGTCCAATGGAAAAAAGACAGTCTCTTCAACAAATGGTGTTGGGAAAACTGGGTAGCCACATGCAGAAGAATGAAACTGGACCATTTCCTTACACCACACACAAAAATAGACTCCAAATGGTTGAAAGACCTCAATGTGAGACAGGAGTCCATCCAAATCCTAAAGGAGAACACAGGCAGCAACCTCTTCGACCTCAGCCGCAGCAACTTCTTCCTAGAAACATCGCCAAAGGCAAGGGAAGCAAGGGCAAAAATGAACTATTGGGACTTCATCAAGATAAAAAGCTTTGCACAGCAAAAGAAACAGTCAACAAAACCAAAAGACAACTGACAGAATGGGAGAAGATATTTGCAAATGACACATCAGATAAAGGGCCAGTATCCAAAATGTATAAAGAACTTATCAAACTCAACACCCAAAGAATAAAGAATCCAATCAAGAAATGGGCAGAAGACATGAACAGACATTTTTCCAAAGAAGACATCCAAATGGCCAACTGACATATGAAAAAGTGCTCAACATCGCTTGGCATCAGGGAAATCCAAATCAAAACCTCAATGAGATACCACCTCACACCAGTCAAAATGGCTAAAATTAACAAGTCAGGAAACGACAGATGTTGGTGGGGATGCGGAGAAAGGGGAACCCTCCTACACTGTTGGGAATGCAAGCTGGTGCAGCCACTCTGGAAAACAGTATGGAAGTTCCTCAAAAAGTTGAAAAGAGAGCTACCATATGATCCAGCAACTGCACTACTGGGTATTTACCCCAGAGATACAAAAGTAGGGATCCGAAGGGGTACATGCACCCCGATGTTTATAGCAGCAATGTCCACAATAGCCAAACTGTGGAAAGAGCCAAGATGTCCATTGACAGATGAATGGATAAAGAAGATGTGGTATATATATACAATGGAATATTATGCAGCCATCAAAAGGAATGAGATCTTGCCATTTGCAACGACGTGGATGGAACTGGAGGGTATTATGCTGAGCGAAATAAGTCAAACAGAGAAAGACATGTATCATATGACCTCACTGATATGAGGAATTCTTAATCTCAGGAAACAAACTGAGGGTTGCTGGAGTGGGGGGTGGGGTGGGAGGGATGGGGTGACTGGGTGATGGACACTGGGGAGGGTATGTGCTCTGGTAAGCGCTGTGAAATGTGCAAGACTGTTGAATCTCAGATCTGTACCTATGAAACAAATAATGCAATATATGTTAAGAAAAAAAAAAGAAGAAGATAGCAGGAGGGGAAGAATGAAGGGGGGGAAATCAGAGGGGGAGACGAACCATGAGAGATGATGGACTCTGAAAAACAAACTGAGGGTTCTAGAGGGGAGGGGGGTGGGAGGATGGGTTAACCTGGTGATGGGTATTAAAGAGGGCACGTTCTGCATGGAGCACTGGGTGTTATGCACAAACAATGAATCATGGAACA